TATACTGGTATGTAAATGGAATAAATATATGATCTTAATTTCAAACATGTTTTGTCCAAATGAACAACTTTGCATGGACACTGGATTGTCTTTAACTCAGTTACTGAAGTTTTGATAGTTGAGAAGGGGAGCAAAATCACCCCCCCCCCCCATAAGATGGCCCCCAACATGGCTCTTTTGGGGGTTAATGATAAATTTCAGATTTTATTTGCACAAAATTGGGGCACGTTCTGTGATATTTGGCCACATTTGTAGATTAAGTATAAGGGGTTGCTCAAGGTAACCAAAATTCTATCCATTTTGTTTTGACTCCCTTATTTGTTTAAGAAAGTTTGTGAGCATTGGGATGCTATTCAGCATGATATTTTAAAGTAAAACAGGTTAACAATGCAACGTGGACACACCATTTTTACCACATTTGGTTAATATTTGAAAGTTTCATGCACACCTTTTCCCCGATGAATAGCCGAGAACACAACAAGCCATTCCAAAGTTGTACTTTTGAAATTTCTAAGAAATTAACAGATTTCTGAGGTTAGCACTAAGGCTTCACATAAACTTTTCCAACTACATGTTAGGAATGGTCAGAAATATTCTCAGTTAATACTTGGGGAAAAAAAACCTGGTGCAACAAAGTTACAGTACTTACTTAATATGGCAAAAATGTGGTGTCCATATTACATTTTTAACCCATTAAACCAATTTATACTGAAAAACATCCTAATACTCCAAATCCTTTATTAACAACAGGAAGAGTTACAATCCAAATGAATAAGTTAGTTACACTGGGTGACCCTGTACACCTGTCTCAAAATGTGTTCAAATCTTACAAGTGCTTATCCCAACTTCCTGGAAAGACACACCTGCAAAAAGGACAAGTGTCCCTTTGACAACTTTCCGGAATCATTCAACACTATTGGTAAGAACTTGGTGTATTTTTTTAAACAAAGGACAAGTCAGATAATGCAAGTCTTAATGGATGTGAGTGAAATGCTTCCCTTGGCTGACCACTAGCTTGTGCTTGCATTTGTATGAAATGTTATTATATGAACTTTTAAAACCTTTCTCTAGTTTTATTAGCAGGGGAATGGGTGGGACTACTGGTTTAGTTAAGAATAATTAAAGTTTTATTTTGATCACATAAAACGAAGGATAAATGTAAGCTTAAAAATGACAGCAGAGAATGAAGCACTGATTTTAAACTGATTGTCGATTTCAAGGAAAAAGGTTATAAGAATAAGTTGTGCAGAAAGAAGATAACTGTCAGAAGACATGTGACCTGTATGGTTATCATTCAGCAATAAATTATTCAACTCCTCATTGCTTTCGGGCATATATGTACGTGTGGTTTGACAGAAAAAATGTACATGTCAACTATGCTAGAATGACGAGATGTCACCTAAATATTCACAACAGTTTTCAATGAAGGCTTTCTGCCTCATAGTTTGACTGGAGCATGCCTACAATTAATGCATTTATCCTGCCCTTAGGACTGTGATTGAATGGGTTAGAAATCTGCAAGATCAATGGTATTAATTTAGCTTGGTGACAACATGATTTTGTGTACATTGTACTTGTTTAACAAAAGGCTTCATTTCAGGACATACCAAGTGATGGGTACCAACGAAGAGCTCACTGCACTCTAAGAACTGACTGAACGGGATGTGTCTCAACTTTGTAATTTGTACTTTACATCTTCAACGCTGTGATTATGTGGTCCATTTGTGTAACTATACAGGGCGTCTTAAAAAAGATTACCATCTCTTAATGTAAATTATCAGAACTGTACTGAATATTTAAGAAAGAGGCAACTACAAGGAAAAATCCAGGATGTCATTGAAGACTGAGCAAACACGGCCTCTATGAAAGTCAAAATCAGCACTGTGACAAGTTAGTACATGTACACAATGGAAAAGTGGTGATACGGACAATGATTAGATGCTTCATTGAAGAAATGCAATGAGACGATCTTTCTGATCACTCAATCTTTTAATTCATTTTTGTGGTAGGAGTGTCACACCCATGAGTTCACACCTTTTCACCTCTCTCTTCTTCATTCAACTACGTATCTGTTTTTTCCCTAAATCGCTCACCTTCATCCTCATCCCGCACAGCGCCTAATGCCATCTACGACAGCACTGACTGGGCTACTGCCCTTCACCCTGCAGCTCCAATCATGGTATTTGGTAACTTCAATGTCCAAGACAAGGATTGGTTGATACAACCACGCAATACTGATATCCCTGGCACTGGGGCTTCATTTTTCATGATCTTATTCAGATAAAATCATCACAACTATCTTGGATCGTGATTTTGATGGGAGACACTTGCTCGACCTCTTCTTGTGGTCAACCCTGATTATTGTGTTGCCAACATCTTTCCTCCTGATCATGCTGATCTCCATGCTAAAGACTCCACTCTCTACTGTGCTTCCCCCAACTCCTCTTACACTTTTTGCAATGATGTCGGGGTACAACGTCATCATGATATGAAGAATGGGTTGAAGTGGGGAAGGAAGAAATGGTAACCTTCAATGCTAAGAAATGAAATTACCGTCTCCATCTCACTATAGAGACAATACGTATCCATAGGGTCCATTGAAGGTATTGACCTCCTGATGCTATCCTGTATAAGACAACCGTTCGACCCCTTATGGAGCACTGCTGTCACATCTTGGCTGGAGCTTCTGCCTGTCACTTATCTTTACTGAACAGAGTGCAGAAGCGTATATAGTTAATCTGGTTAGTGAATAGTTGGGCTCATTACAGCCGCTTTCCACCGTAGGTCTGTTGCCACCCTCTGTTTTACAGATATTGTCATGGTCATTGCTCCATTAGTCTATCCAACCTGGTTCGGCCAATCAGAGTGTTTAAGAGAATCACTTGGCTTTCTGCATGTTCTCATCCATATACTGTTGCAGCACCTACCGGGTAATGTGAAACAAAAGGATATTCCAATAGCTTTTTCCCACGTGCTGCATCTCTTTGGAATTCCTTGCCTGGCGCTCGTATCCCTCCAACCTACAATCTGTCCTGTTCAAGAGGAATGTTAATTCCTACCTTCAGTTTTCCTGAGTACCTACTCTTCTTTTAATTTCTCTTGTAGCCCTGTAACTGGGCTTGTTTTTGGCCTTGTTTAGGGTGAATATCACAACGTTGCCTCATGTTTCTGAAAGCACGTCTTATAATATATTTCCTTGTCTTGGCGCTGATTCGCCTAATCCACTATCCCAGTTCATACTCTTGAATGTTAGCTTGGGCATGGTGAAAACCTTATCTTTCAAGTGACCCAACAACAAAAAGACACAAGGAGTGAGATCTGGTGATCTTGGGGCCATTCAACTCTGTGAAATAACGAAATCACCCCGTCACCAACAGCTCTGCCAAGCGATGCCTCAAGTATGTGAGGCAGGGTTCCTTCCTAAACTTATCACACCCATCTGAAAGCTGTATGTCACCGTCTTGGGAAGATCAGCTTCATATGTGGTACCGTACCATAAAGTCAATGATCATATCCAGATAGCCTACATTTGGTGGACCTGGCCTATCATATATTCCTAAGTAACATAATAATACATCTGTCTGCCCTTTGCCACCCAGGTAAAAACTTGTCACAGTGCTGATTTTGACCTTTTCATAGAGGCCTATTTGCTCAGTCATCCTGACAATGACGTAATGCAATTAGTATTATTGGATAGAGGACATCCTGTAATTCATCGTAATTCCTAGCAAGCTACCTCTTTCTAAATATTCAGTACATTTCTGATAATTTACAATCAAAGGATGGGTATACTTTCTTGGAGACACCCTGTACAGTACCTAATACAGTACTAGCAAAATTCAATCAAGGGCTGTTCATTTTCAAATTAAGTAGTTTTCAATTATTCTAAGTTGGACTTGATCAAATTTTGAATATCGAAATGCACTGATCAAGTGGTCTAGTGGTTAGTGTTTGTGACTCATGATCAGAGGGTCAGGGGTTCGAATCCTGCCGCTGGCCATATGTTGTGTCCTTGGGCAAGCTACTTCATCCTCACTTGCCTCTCTCCACCCAGGAGTATAAATGGGTACTGACATAAGCTGGGGAGTAACCTGTGATGGACTAGCATCCCATCCTGGGGGAACAGAAATATTCGCAGTCGTTTCATGTTACAGAAACCGGAGATAAACGCCGGCCTGATGGGCCACATTGGCTCATGACAGACTTTACTCACTGATCAGATTTAACATTCGCCATGCTTAAACGGCTGCTGTTCAGGATTTGCTCACAGTTTGTGAATATTTGCATTGAAAAAGAAAATGCTATTCATATATCTGGTTGAGAATGGAAAAGTGGGTATATTGGTCACATGACAGCTTACACTATCAGCTTAAAAGGTGCAAAATGCTCTTCACTGAATAAATGTAGCTTCCTTGTAAAGAAATCTTGATGTTGGAACAGAATTGGATCAAACTTCTCTTTAATATGTTAATTGTACACAAGTGAAATCTGCTTGAGAATTAGCTGCTCACTCGTTTTATCATCATTCGATGTGGTTTCAATCTCTCACTCCACTTGTTAGCACAAGTGGACAGAATCTACAAAAAAAACTACAATTTGTTTTCAAACCATTTCTGTTTTATGATTAGTAACAGCACAGCATAAACAAGTGCACCGGAAAACGATCAACATATATAATATTACTGCTTGTGTAACTAAAACCAACCCTGATCACACTGAAGGTTGACTGCACCAGCAGACAACCAACAGATAGACTCGGAGTGGGCATGATAAAGATATGACCCCATTATAAACACACACACACAAACACCCACACCAAATCATACAGTGATTTTGAAGACAGCAACAGAAAAGTAGCAAGAATACATGATATACTCATTGAGCATAGAGATGTGCATGATCACTGAAGCAGCAAGCATGCATGAAAGCATGATGATCTGGCACCTCCATGTGGCTTCATGACATGCACAACTCAGCACAATTGAGTCACGGCTACTAACCAGTTGGCCGGCAAGTAGCGGCATGTACTCAATAATTGCCAGTCGTACACGCCATTTAGTATCTTCAGCAAGTTCCACTATGGCAGGTAGTAATGACTGTGATAACTGTTTGATACCAATAACATTGTTGACACAGTCCAGGTTGCTAATGATGTTGAGACGGACCTCAGGGCATTCATCCTTCAACTGAGCCAGGAATAGGGGAAGCAGATGGTCGATAGTTCTGCAAGTGAACAAACCACTTTATCATTGGGAATTCATCTAATGATATCAAAACATCATCATTTTCATTTCAGTCTTGAACCTTTTAAATTTTTCAATTTTCATCTGTGAATGCATTAAGATTTAAACACACATACCCACTGCCACTTAAAGCTGATCAACACCATTTGCTAACATTCAAAAAGGAAATGTTTTACTGGACTGTATGTAAATAATAGCATCTAGCATCCTGTGAAATTGTTGTGCCTAGTATGCCGTCATTTCCTACAACAGAGGAAATATTGTTTCCTTGTGAGAAAAAAATGGCTGCTCCCAATTCATCAAATTTAATATATTTATTTTGCAATCGCTCACATATCTGTGATGAGATTATTTCTCAGGAATGACAAACTTGGGATCATACCAAGAGAGGGTGCCAGTCCAACCATATTTTGGACAGGAGAGGGTTATAGACCTTTATCCTGCCACCATTTCAGTCATGTTCCCTGTATCCAATAACATCATTGAATGATAAAAGGAACCAGCCGTGCTTTGGTTACGTTGATTTGAATGGAACAAATTGAAATGGTCACAACATGATAATGGTCTATTGACGGAAACCTGGCTTTGAGTTGAGAAAACCTGAGATGCATTTTCATAGTTATCTCCACGGTCTGCATAATGCAGTGATGAGGCGATTGTCAATGGGAAGGGCCGATATCATCTAATCGGTGCATGTTGCGAAGTTCATGTTTGGATTATGAATTCAAAATAATTATTTCTGTGGTATGGGCTAGAATGATAGCTGGACAGTTTTGGAAGTTCATGTTTTTAAGTTTGGATTTGGTTCAATCAGGTTATGAAAAGGGGATATGAACGTATTAACTTTGAGACCTTTTTTCATTGGCGCGGGAATCGTTTTGGGGTAATAGGCCTAAAGGGTTGGTGGAAAATTGTTGATCTGGTGTGTTTCATTCTTTATATTTATTTACCAATATGCGAATCTCTTTTTTTTACTGAAAAAAAAGCCATAAATTTGGATTTGTTGGGTTGACTTGATTCATTGAAACCTTGAAGAAGCAGCGTGTCCACGTAAATCTCGTCGTTCATGTCAGCTTGGGTGCAGAAGTTGTCACGTACTCGGTGATTGTTCCCAGCATGTGGTTTCTTCTGTTGCTGTCTGTGCGTCATTGTACCATAATATCATCAGCACGTTTTCACAGGCCTTTGTTGGTAACCACAGCGCACAATTAGTGAATGTACTGCAGTATCGGCAAGATTAAACAACTGACTTAAACCCATTCATGACTGTACCGGTAATTATGCTGCTTTCAGATTAGGTTTGAAAGAAAATTTGAAAAATGTGAAGTAAAGCTTTGTGGTTTTATTTTTTGTGTGTAATAAATGGGTCGCTATCAATGCTTTTATACGCAACAGGGTCGCCAAAACCTTTCGTTGGAACAGAAATTTCATACTGTCCGATTTCGTCTTAAGCGAATTTCTCCCCCTAGAAATGTGCACAATTTTGCTGGGACTGAAAATATGTGTTTGTTTTCGAAAAATCGGGAGCCAACTGTATAGACGAAGTATGTGCAATTGAAGATGTAGTGAAAATACGTGTGTGCTAAACCGTACCACAAGAAACAAAGACAAGCTTCAGTAGTTTCAGTGGTTTATACCCTATGTACTAGTTCTAATTTGCATTTTATGAATGAAGAAATGAACCATTTTCTTCAAAGGGTGGTGCAAACCGTATTACTAGGGACAATAATACAAGGTGAGTCTTGATGACGAGGACGAAATACAATATGAAAACGGAGGCTTAAACGTTGACGCAAAAATATTGTCTACTCTCTCGTATGTATCCACCCTATGCATACATCAGGGTTCTCCCCATGTACAAACGTGTGTATCAGCCCGATACGCTGGAATTGTAGCCCGACACGCAGGCAAAATTGCCGATCGCATTTTTCAGCCGCCAATACGCACAATATAATGATTACACATGCCATTTGTGCACAATATAATCGTTGCACACGCAATTATTTCATCTCGCTATGCAAAATCTTGACGATCCTATATTTCAGACGTATGTATGATCAAAACACGACACCAAAGCCATGCCGCTATACGAGTTCCATGCGGCAGTGCCCACTAGCCAGCTAGGCCATGTGCCATTGCCATTCACTGGTTACCACCGCGTGGTAACAGAATCAAAGCTATGACCGGAACCAGTGACAATGGCCTACATAGTTATTGCATACACACACAAAGCGTAACTGGTCAAATTTAAATCGTAAAAAATAGCTAACAAACATCGATGGAGAAAGGGAGTTTCTGCGAATTAAAATCCCAGAATGTGATTTCTCTTTTCTGTGTGTATGTATTTTTAATTTTTATAACAAGGTTTTACCGCATGTTACTTGAAGCGGAACAGCCATGTGATTCCGCAAATTTGTTGGTAGTCATCGGTCACAGCACGTGAGTCGCTGCACAGTGCACGTATGTACAATGAAACTGCGCTGTGTGTGCGATGTGATATATGGCCGGTGCTTGCCAGCTATGACCATCGTGAATTTCCGACCATTGAGAGCATGGTGGTGAGGACGACTTAAATTCTCGATCTCACTATTATTATTTTTAAGAATCATCCACATTGAACATAGTTTTACATTCGTTTTTTTTTCATTGTTTTGCATATTACATTTAATCCATACTTTTCCAGTTCAGGAAGTTAAAAAACTTAACATGTTTGTGAAATGTTGATTCTTTTTTTAAATACTTTTTTTGGGTATCAATCTCCTCTGAATTTTAAGAAAAAAATCCAGCTTAAAGACCCCAGATTTGCTTTAATGAAAATGAAAATATATATACTTCAAGTTTATTTTTAAAAACGTGTCCGTCCCAAGAGACATTTCAGTCTCCTGTTTAAGTTGAAGTTTTTACCCAATGACCACCACAAAATTATTTCATAAATGTTCATGCTTGAACAAGTGATCAAGTTCCACGATTCCACACGGATGTTTTAGGAAGTGGGTGGTCACTTCTTGGCACAATACTTCTCTTTCACGTCATGTGATTTTTTCTTTTGTTCAGGATGGTCACCAACTACCACAAATCTGTCAGGATTACACCGCATAACTGCCAAAGCCATTGAAGTGGTTTGATAGATTGGTTGACCCATAGAGAAAGGACAGGTTGTAAAGCAGCCATTTTAACCTGTCAAATGTACCAACATGATGCCAGCTTACCGACCTGTTCAAAATTGTAGCCTGATAGGTTTTGATAGATAGGGTTACCAGTGACAAATTGTGACTGAGTGTAGAGTATATCTGCTTGAGTTTACATTCAGCATACATAAACTTTGCTGTCCAATTGATTGACATTGACAGCAATTCATTAACTTTAATCTCAAAAAATCAAGATTACTTTTGTGTTTTCAATCATTATGACCCCCCCCCCCCCCCCCCCGTCAATCACAACTTTTGTAAGTGTTAATACAGTTTTTACCACATACAGACTGTTCCTTATTTCCTTAAAAAAGTGTTATATCTTACAAAATAAAGTACCGTACCAAACACTTGAAAATGAGTGGAATTGTGATGCTCTCACTACAGAAGGCTGGACAGTAATATATACAATATCGCAACTTACTTATCTTTGCCCAGTATTGGAGACAAGCCCATGATGACAGATGCCAAAGCACTCTTGACATGTTGGTTTGCATCAGACACCAACTCCTGCCGAGGAAAGTTTCAAAGCTTAATATTCAATTTGAGTATGCATAAAGCCAAAAAATAAACAAATGTTTTGTTGCCCTCACATGAAAAATTTCAGGAGGGTCAGTCGGTCAGGGACATTTGGGGGGGGGGGGGGGGAGGGGGGTATACAAAGTACACATACAGTCACAGACAACAGTAAGAAGCAAAACCCAAGGTCACCCAACACAGTGATAGGTTCCGGCAAAACAGTTTGTAAGGGCCCTTGATGCAACAGCGAGACAAAAATATCCGACGAAACAACTTTGGGGTGCCTTGTGTTGTACTTATGGAATAATTTGGCAAAATCGCCATTTAATAGATATATTTGCAATGCAAGTTGTTTTATTCTCAACATCGCTGTCATGGACCAGACAGACACTGCGTAGCCGTCCATCTTGGCTATCGTGTTTGCACATGCACACAAGCGGTACAATGTAACATCTGGCCAAGGGCACAAAGTGAATCGTGGGTACCAGCAAAGCATATTTTTAAAAAAGGATTTCTTTAGAAGATTGGTTTTCATCACTACTGTTATATTCTTGTTAAATTTTTTTGATTGTTTAATTTTCCATTCAACGTGTCCTACTGTCATGAAGCTTACGCGGCAACTTTGATCAATATTTTGTCAAGGATTCCATTCAGCTACCAGTTCCCAACATACATGTACACGAAACGTTTTTTCAGGCTATGTGTACTGCATGCACCAATCCAGTATTCTGTGTACGTACATGTACACAATGTGCATTGAAGATATGATGCGTGCAGTAAGTGTACATATACACCACATGCTCCAGGTCTCTACCTCCATTACACCATCCATCAAAACACGGAAAATTTGAACTGTACTGCCATTTAGGTATGTATGTTTTTAACGAAATGCAAAATTAAGGCATTTAAAAAAAAAGCCGACCAGAGATTTCCAGATTTTAGGGTCGATTGGGTGAGGGCAACAAAACAATATTTTTGGGGCCTAATTTTTGGTTGGAAACACCACTGCAACTGAAACTAAAAAACTAGAGGTTCACGTTTGTTGAGTTACAAACGCAGAGTGGTTGGGCTGACATCTATTTCATATGTCATAATCTTTGCCACAATATAAATCAACTGAAAATAATTTAAACATTTTTCAAACTGCAGATAGAGGGCGCTCTAACATTTTATGACGTCACTGGTATTATTTTTGTAAAGCCCAACCTAGCCAGAGACTTACATCGTTGAAAGCAAGTTCAGATCTTTTTCCAATTTCAAATTACAAGGCACTTTCGGTTTTGACCGGAAGGAGGGTCACGTAATATAAAAAAAATTAAGACCCTGGAATATTGTATCAATTCCTGTAAAAAAACAAAATCAGATCTCTCACCGTTGATTTTATATTCATTTTCAAAGATTAATCATGTGGTCTCAACATATACCGGTATGCACGCCTATGCTACTGAATTGTACATTCATCAAGTACAATTGTTTAAAAATCTAATAGCTCATATTTTAAAAGTAAAGGTTGCACACCATTGGCGCAATACATAATATTGCTCGCAATACCTTCTTTACCCAAGTGCACATGTTTTTAGGAAAAAATGCCCAATTAAAAAAAAAAATCACCCAAATGGGCACTTTTGCCAGCCCAACAAACAAATGTGCTTCCGTTAACAAGTTGTCATATAACGTGTACAAAACACTAGTAAACACTTAAGAATACATTGCACACCAGTTAAAGTTATGTACCGCCCTCTCAGTTTTGGCGAGCATAAACTATGAGTCAGGGGAGTTCCCGAATGAGCAATATTCTCGGGAATTTCCCTACTATTACACATGCACAATGCAATCCACGTACGTGCCTTGCAACCATCTTTAAGGCTTGGGGCTGTGAGCCTTATATTTCAAGGGTGCTGAGGGGCATGTCCAAGTTCACTTATTGCCAAGAGACACAGGGAAGTTTGAGACCTACTTTCACATTAAGATTTAACCCTAAAAGGGCTGGGGGCCCTAAACTTTTTCTGCGATAGCCTTGCAGCTTATTTGTGTGTAATATGCACCACTCCGGATGAGGGCCGATATATGTTGAAAGTTACAATTTCATACCATAAACCGTTTAGGAGAAACCCGCGGGGAAGTATTGTCGGGAAAAAAATGAAAGAAAGACGGAAGAACAATTCTAAACAACGGTCGGGTTGTGCCTGACCACTCAAAACTTATGGGAACACAACAGTATGCTACATTTCCAAATGTCAAAATGCATTGAATTTCAGAAAAGTGACCAATTCAAGATTTGGATGCCTTAAATGCACCTAGGCATGTAAATTTTCTATTGATCTGCTGTTTTTGCTTTTTTCTTTAAAAATCCAGCCATGAAACAAACAAACAAATATATTACTGTGCTTCTGGTTCGTTTCATGCTGTGGTGCCTGCAGAATTGGCTCTGGGTTTTATAAACAGTAAACTCCGGCTAAACTGACATCGTATAAACCGTCATATCGCTTAAATTGGCCGTCTGACGAAAGTCCCGATTGTCTCTAATGCATTTCCATTGACATTTTCATTTCTAAGTCGGCCTTTGTAAGCCGCCATTTTGCCTATGTCGGCGTGTTACTTTCAGTCCCATTTCCTCAAAACCACAAAAATTCCTCTGTATAAGTCGGCATCATGCTCTGCGGTTTGTGTCACTGTGTCGAGTGAAAAGTCCCACACACAGCTAACTGACAACTGTTTATCAATGGCACGGCCCGTGATTGATGCATCGGCCAGCACGCGTACACTAATCGCACGTGTACACTAATCGCACGTGTACACTCTTTCATGCACAGTCTGTAAATTGTGTGCATCGTTCGCTTACACGTGCGCGATCAAAAAGGGGTTTTCCCGATAGCACATCAATACCAGTACCCCCTATCGACTGCACGCATGCGCTCTGTTCATTTTAGGGGTCCCCTTATTGTATCAGTACCATGCACAGTTGCACACATGTAATTTGTGACTGTACACGTACATACATGCACAATGTACACTACATGTACATGTTCATGGTCGTACAGTATACAAGCGATATGTCATACCACTGTTAACGCTAGCCGACCGCGCCGTCCTTGCTTCGTATGTACGTACATGTACATGCATGACTTTCTGTGATCAATACCACAGCCTGTTTGTGATGATAAACATTGAGGATATATTTGCTTGAATCAACCGTGGATGTAGAAATAAACCAGGGTAAATCAAAGCCTTTGAATTTTAGCCATGAATCTCATTTGCCATTAATTCAATCTATTTTTTTCACTCCGTGATTCAATTTGTGTATTTGTGTAAGTCAGCAAAATGACAACTTGCAGCAGAAGCCGACATTCGCGTAAGTCGCCACAAATTCTCTGGTCCCGAGAGTGCCGTCTTAGCCGGAGTTTACTGTATATGTACAGTGTATATACACGGCATAAAAATGTGCAGACTCTTTGTGCATTTATAGTCTGGCCAATGTGAGAGTGTATCACAGGTGCAGATAAAGACACTACTGCATGTGTAGGACTCGTTGGAAAAACGTGTCTGGATTATGCATTTTGAAACCGTTGCTGGTGTCTCAAAATTACATCAACATGATACCTTTTTAGAATTACAAGAATTTTAGAAGGGCGCTGTTGTAGCTGCTGCCTCAAAAAATTATGTCTCCCGTTTTATGTAGCTTTTATCACTTTTAGCCAACCTTATTTTGTTCAAGTGTGTTCATAGCTATGCAGAGAACCAAGTGGAGACAGGAAACAATGGCAATGTCTACCGTCAACCCATATTTGAACATGGAATCTGGATTAGGGACACTGGAATTTGTGAGTGCCGAACTACCATTATGCACTTTGACCCTGGCAAACGGATTTGCAAACGTGTGAAACCTTGGACAATGTGTTACCAATATCCAGATCACCAGTGTCTAGCACAGAGTTGTAACGAGTCACTGATTTTTGTGACTCGAGTCGAGTTGAGTCATTTTAAAGAAGTGACTCGAGTCGAGTCGAGTCATTAGGTCAACAAGGTCGAGTCGAGTCGAGTCGAGTCACAGAGTGTGGTCGAGTCGAGTCGAGTCGAGTCAAGTATTTAGCTCGAGTCAATTCGAGTCACAAATATTTGAACACTAAATTACAATAAAAAGCAACAAACACAAGAGAGAAAGAATACAAGGCACCAGTCTATTACGGAAATCCAAAGACATAAAGTATGCTGTATGGTACCCAACCAACAGTTTCCATTGCTAGCTCACGACCCAGATAAGAAGATGTGAAACTTCGGTCTTATAACTGGTTTGGCTTCGGGTCTAGATTTTGTTGTTCGCTGATCGCTGACAATGTTAAAACCTAATTGCATTATACAAAACTGTTTCTGATTATTTAAAGGTGGGCGGGCCCGTCCGTATCCATTTTTTTGTGTGAAATCGGGACATGAATTTAGCCAGCGTTCCACCAAGAACTTCAAAATCGCCCGAAACCAATGATGAAACCACGGATTGAGAAATGCGTTTTAAGTCTGGTTCCCGGTTTAGCATTACATGCTATAGAACCACAAGGTGGGAGTCCGCGACACGGTGTATGTTTGTTGTTTCATTATGGAGGAAGGAAACAGACTGCCGCTGTATATAAACATACATTATTCGCGAACATTAACGTGACGTGAACAAAAACTGGCAACGCGAACGGCGCAGCGTAAGTCATTGCAAATATTTTTCGCAAGTAAGTTTTGCTTTTATTTTGGGACTCGAGTCTTATTAGCCTTCCTCGAGTCAAGTCGAGTCATTCTGATGAGGGACTCGAGTCGAGTCGAGTCATTTGCTCGCAGTGACTCGAGTCGAGTCGAGTCATTTACCCGTCGGGACTCGAGTCGAGTCGAGTCGCCAAAAAATGTGACTCGAGTCGGACTCGAGTCGAGTCATTGACTCGAGTCATTACAACTCTGATGTGTAGGTTTCCTGTACACAGAGTGTCCAAGTGAACCATCGGCCCGTTTGGAAATGAGTACATCAAGGAAAGGCAATGAATCGGATGTCTCAGTTTCCATTGTGAATTGTATACTCAGGTGTTGTTGGTTGCGATGGCGGAGGAAACCATCGAGCTTGTCCGGGCCTTACTCTTACTTTACCACATGGTTTATTGACTTGGCTCTCCCCAGAACCAATTGTTTGCGCGCAGTCAATCGGAAGTCACTAGAGCATGAAAAATGGACCACAAGTCGAAAACACACTTTTTTCAACCCACATTTGGACTGACAAAGAGTAATTAAAGTCAAAGGTGTTGTGTGTCAATTTTGTCACTTAAACTTTACTCTTTTATAGGATGTAAAGATCAAGGCCATATATGCAAAAATAAGAAAGTTATGCCCGTTTGTTGATCTGGCCCCAATAATGCAAGCCCTTTCACCACATGACCAAATGGCACTCAATACCTAAATCTGTGCGTGGATACTTTTGAAGCACTTTTCTTAGATTTGTGTAGTGGTAACACTATCACTACACTACACCGTTGGAACGATCCGAAACACTCTTTCAGCTAGTATATAGTTGATGTATGGGCAGCCAAACATACTAACATGCCAGCTTGCTGAAAAGCAGTGAATAAATCTGTGTTCAAAGTGCTCTGTGTGTCGTTTCCTGGTCGACAAAAGTCGCCCATGGTAAAGAAACGGGGTAAACATAAAACACATACACAGACATCAACAAATCTTTCAGAAATATACGATGTTAGATATTTAACTTTTGGTTCCTGCTCCCCCCCCCCCCCCATGTTCTGACCCATTCCCCTGTCAGCACCCATTTACCTTCACACATGGAAGAATGTTGGTCATGATGATCTGCTCCCTGGAGTCCGGTGCCAAATTCTCACAAAATGCTTTGACTTTATGTGCACTGGCAGCACGAACCTCTGCCTCACAGTCTTTCAGCAAGCTCTGAAATGCTCCCACTAAGTCTTGTTTGGTGATCTCGGGTCCAACAGCTTGCTGAAGCTTCAGGAGTAAACAGAAATAATGGAACTAGATTTTCAGGGTGAAATTTGAACACAGTACACCCAATATAAACATATCTTAAGTTATGTGCACATAAACAGATGAATTCAGCAAGTAATTATTTCTGTATTTGTCATGGAATTCTGAATCTAATCCAACTACACGGACTCCACATCAAAGGTGTGTACACTTCACACTCCATTTACTTCAAATTATTGACAGAACAACTATGGAAGTATCCTTTGAGACTAGCTTTCGCACTTTTGATTAAGGATGAAAATCCCTCGTGACTCCATCAGCTTGGTAGACCTGAACTGACAAGGTGCCTATGGCATGTCAGATTTGTTTGTTACCAGATTTGTCAGTAAGACAGAACTCAGAAGTTAGAGGTATTCAGTATTTAATAAATGCTATCCTAGTAAAGTTGCTGCAGATGGCAAGCTAATGTATTGGCTTGAAATGACGCCAGCTACAATTAATGAATTCTTTACTTCAATTTATTGTGTGGTCCAAACGTTACTTTGGATTCCTCTTGGACATTTTCAATAATTTGATAGTGACACATTCTTTGCAACCCAGAGTGTCAACTTGACACTTTTATTTACCCTTTCATCATTGGATATGATGATTGTTCTATCCAGGTATTCAATTGGGACTGGGAATAGACTCTGTGCAAAATAGATAGCGCTTTGAGACCACTTTCAAAAGTACCAGTGGCAGGGATGCACTGGGTGTGTGTACTGGTTCCCATGCTTATAACCCATAGTACGCACAAACAATGTTGGTGCCACTAGCAATGTCTGCAAATGTCCCACTCAGTGTTCATGGAAAGACCCACTAGTCTTAATATGAGAGAATTAAAACAGTGTACAATGACATTGACCCCAAATATCAGCTCACTGTGATAGCTGCAAAGAATGAAACAAATCTGGATGCAAGTAACCCTTACATCGGTGAATTTGTCTGCCACCATGTAGCGTACTCTCCAGGATTTATCCTCTGCACAATTTCGGAGTGTTGGCATGATAAGCGTCTCTGTGTCCTCAGGTGATAATGATGTTGCAATATTCACACAGGCCTCTACAGCCAGTAGACGTACTGAATCCTGTACATTCAAGAACAGATTTGTCATTTCTCAACTGCAATTCAATCATACAATGTGCAGTTTTTTGTTTTACCATGTATTACTGCCACCTCATTTTTTTTGATTGACTAAGACATTTTGTATCAAAAAGTTACATTTCAATTCATTATTTATAAATGCTACACAGAAAGTTGTGATACGGTGCACCTTTACTTCAAGAATAGTTTGATATTTAACACTGAAGCTAATTTAACAAGACTGAACCTGAAAGTTAGATGGCTGGACTATATACATTCTGCTATTAATGCTGGTCCTTGGGTCAAGCACAAATGATTTCCATTAGTTACTACGGTTCTCACTAGGGTATTTCAAGATCATGATTTTGTCACCAGAGACACGACATGGTGTTGTGTGCTGTTGTGCTGCATTTTTGGAACATCGCTCAGTTCTACAAGTTTATGAACGGCAAAGCTCTATTACATTTTTTTTGCAAAAATGATTGTCAGCTGGGTCTTGGTGAATGTCCTTGTTTTGTACACTTGCTGCCCTCCTCAGCATTTGCACCAATGCAACCAAGGTAATCAATGTGTCAGCACCAAAGCACATAGATGGTAGCACAATATGTCTTTACATCATCGAAGATGGCCAAGTAAAAAAGGCAATGAGAAATAATGAAGTAATTACGTGTTTTAACACTAACAGTCCCGAATATCATTTGTCACACACCGTAGGGAGTTAGGGTTTTTAATTAACTTACTTGTTCATCAGCTGCAAGATTGACAAACATTGGGATGACATCTGACTTGAGATAATCTAGCTCTACTGCTTTGGCAAATTCTCCAAGTTTACTTGCTGCAGCTCGTCTGACCATAGGGGTTTCATCAGAGCACAGGTTTCTGAAATGCCTATAGTCCAAACAGAAATAACTGATAAGTTATTCACTACACTTTTAATTTGTTTACAAAAGCTTGAGACAGTTTTGGTATTATTTCTGTATTTTTCACATTCAAGGGTTTAAAACACTCAGTCATCTCTTTAGGATGAAACTATCACACCCTTACCCCCCAAAAGGGCAACATGGGTGAACAGTAAAAGGGGGAAATGAAACATCTTTTATTGTAGTGGGCTGATCTTGAATTCTGTTGACTGTTTTTCTAAATGAAACCAAAAAGGCAGGTAGTGGTTTTTGTTTTTGTTTCCCTAAAAAAAAAATATTTAAAGACTAGATGTAAAATCATGTGCAGATCAAGCTAAAGGGATTTTTGACATTTTCTTATATGAAGGAAAGGACCATATTTATTTAGGAAAGTGTAATGTCACATTGTGAGCAATCATAAATCACCCTTAATCCTGTTCCTCAGACCAACACATACATGTAGGGTGAATAGAAGTGTCCAACACAAAAGTAAGATAAGAAAATCCAAAGTGCATTGTATGTATTCAAATTGTGGTCATTATTTTGTTGGTTTGTTTGTTTTAATTAGCATTTTTTAAATGTTATTTTCATAGTCATTAAAATTTTTAAAAAAAAATACGGTACCACTAAAACATTCCCCCCTCCCCATTTAACTGTTGGAAGGGGTCTCATCACTGTTAAATATGCTCGATATTAAATGATTTTACAGAGGACTACTCAAATTGCAAAATTCCTAAAATCCACTGTTAAATTTCATCCTTTCATAAAGAACCAAATAAGATTAGGAAGAAATGCATCATATTCTTACGTGCGAAGTTCTGCCTTGATGTTACTAGAGCACTTGGCATAACAAACACTGAACAGACCACATGCTGATGTACGGGATGTAAACCAATCACCAGAAGACAATCTCTTGACAAGTGGATAGAAGTGAGCCTCCATGTCAGCTGAAGAGTGTTCCTCAGACAACTTACGAAGGGAATCAACAGCCTTGTCACGAACCACTGTTTCCTCTACAGTCGCAAGGCTTTCCAGAGGTGGCTACCGAGTAAACATCAAGAACAAAACTACAATCAAGCTTTTCAGCTTAAAAGGACTCTTTAGCTTTAGTGCTGCAGCCGAATTGCTGAACCGAACCAAATTCACCGAACCAAACTGAATTGTTCAGTTGGGATGTTCGGAAACACAATGTTTCAGTGTGGGATAGCAGCTCAACAAATCACCATGTCTCTCAGTTAGTTACATGTAGTAGTTAGTAAGTTAGTAACAAACGTTGACATTGTCTATTGTCTATTTTAACCAATTTCAACCAAACTTTGTTGAAAGTATCAGTAGCCCAGCCCCAACATGTCACATGACCAAAATGGGGTCAAAGCAGTGTAGTAGTCGAGTACCAAAATCCGAGTACCAAGTTTTCCGAGTTCATTTAGTGCCGAGTACGGGCCAAGTAAGAGTACACTGTTATGATCTCAGAATAAATATAATTTTTGTTTTGCTTTTATGTTGGAAAGTCATTGTTTGTGATTTAAAAGAGTGAGTGAATGTGCAGAGATCCTGTACAAACAAGCTGAATTTAAAAAAAAACATGTATACCAGAATTTGTATCCTTATGGAGTCATTTCTTTGTTCTCGTGTACTAGTTTGAAAGTGTACTTTCAAAATGCTTGTTCATGTATTTCAATCGGAATTAATTTCCTGGGCAGAAATTCAGACTTAATATCCCTTACATAAAATATTCCAATTTGCGACGGATCAACACACCTTGGAAATTCCTAGTTTTTGAGTGAAATCCATATATATCTATTTCTTGATAACATTGTGGAGACGTATTCACCTATAGAAATTGCCCTGTGCAGGGTTCTCCCTAGGATTTGTTCAAACCTGTGGGGGAAGTTTTGTTGTGATTCACCAACCTGCAAAGCCACAGCGTGGGGTTTGAACATTTTGAACTTTAGAAGCTCTCTGGTGCATTTCAGAGCAAATCTAGGGAGTCTTTAAGGAAGATTTTTCCTTACAATTTAGAGGAGATCTTGTAACATTTTTTGTACATGTAATAAAATAAAAAAATAAAAAAATGTATGTATTACATTTACAAGTAACTTTCAAATTAAGAAATTAAGGTGAAAAAAAATCACTTTTACTTCCGATTACATGCCTTTCAAAATAACGTCTGTAGGTTGGAAAAATTATTTCACCAATTTTTTTGGGCTGCTGATTGAATCATGGAGGAATAAAAACACAAGATTGAATGGAGCATATTTAACAAGGAATCATGTATATTTGTGCCAGGACTATTTTCATTTGCACCACGAAAATTATCAAGACTGGCCATCAAAAGTGATTAAAACTTGCCTCACCTAATTGAAAATATATTTGAGGTGGGTGATTCCACCATATGCTTTTAACGTACATCACAGCCGCTAGCACAGCCAACATTCAGTCTTGCCGGCCGTACATCGCGCCGTACACACGGCGCAGTATCAGTGTACATTACTGCACTGTGTACGGCCCATCCCTGTGGCCGAAAATTTTGCACTGCTGCAGAAGCACGCTACGATGTTTCGCCACAAGTTCGAGCTTTGCAATCTCGTCATTTTAATGGAAAATTCATACACAGAAAATAAAGATCACGTTCTGTGAATTAATTCGCAAAAATTCTCTTTCTCCATCGATGCTTGTTTGGTATTTTTACGATCCAACTTCGGCCGATTGCACTAATCATCATCGCATACGCACAATGCAGTAGTCACTGGTTCCTGTCCTTCATCATAGCATTGATACTGTTAGCACGTGAAGGGAACCAGTGTACCATGCTGTATGCGCTATTATTAGCTAGGTGCTGGCTGGCGCAGTGGTCCACGCGACAGACCCATCATCGTGTGCATTTTGATCGCACATGCATCAGAAATACAGGATTTTTGCCAAGATTTTGCATGGTCAAGATGAAATAATGGCATGTGAAACGATTTTGTTGTGCATTTTAATGGCTTGTATAATAATTATATTGTGCATTTCGGGGGCTGAAAAATGTGATCGCATTTTTGTCGGCATATCGGGCCACGTATCGGACCTTTTGGCCCCAAATGCAATAGGCTTCTTGGGACTACCAAGAGCAATCTACAAACCTAATTTGAAGATTAGGCCCAAAAAAGTCCGGTTTCTGGTATGGAGCTTGTCCAAAAAGTGGTGTTTTTTTTACCTGACTTTTTTGCTTCAAATGTCGGCTGATGACTGCAAATGGTGCCCGACTAAACTTAGTGCAAATATATGGGAGTCCAGAGAGGCCACATAAAGCTTATTCTCGATCATAACCCCATCTAAAAACACGTTAAAATTGTGCAGCAGCAGGATTCCAGTCAAACCAGTGAGTTTGGCAGTTTTGAGACATCATCTTTCATTGAAAAAAAACCTTTTTCATTTTGCCGACGCGCATGGCTACAGCGACGCGCGCGCATACCAGAAACCGGAGACTTTTTGGGGGGGCCTTATGTAAAGTATTTTTCAAGTTATGGCGGCTGACAAGATTTCTATTGTTTTAGCCACTTTGACCTTGATCATTGACCTTTAGGCCCCAAATGCACAGCTAGACATTTTGCTCGAGCCTCTCACCGGCCGTCGACGTTGTTACATGTCGCCGTGTTTGACATCATTGCCCAGACCCTAGACACGCGGTAAACATTATGACAGTCACACTAGTTCACCGAGGTAATGCTCTACCGTGGGGGAGGTACGCTGTGCATGTATACCGCGTAAAGCGTACAGACTCATTGTATGTTGGACGGTTTCCTTCTTGATTTTCCCATTTTTTGGAAGTATTGTACATCGGCATTAGGCCCTAATTGTTTTCGTAAAGAACATGTACACCACTTTTGTTTATTTTGGGGGCTATTTTTTTATACCTGTTGTGGTGCAAAAAGACCTTATTTCTGACAAAAAAAAATTGATGTTCGAAACCACTGTTTTCAAAACCACACAACGGATATTGTGCACTTCACATTTATTGCATCAACTTGCCCGCACATCAGCCAGTCACGTAAAAATACAAGTGATATCACTATTTTAATATTGACCAATCAGCGCCACAATATTCAAATATTATGATAATTACTCTCCAGTTAGTGGTTGTTGCATTGATATCTGTACGTTTGTCATCGTTTGGACTAGCGAGCACGATGTGAAACTCGGGCCACGTGTTCATAAAACATACGGTGATTGCACTTGAAGTTGGATTTTTGTCGTGAATGGCTGATAGTAGGAGAATTAAGAGATTCATTGGTGCTTTGTGTCCAACGTGCAGCCTGCCGTATGTAGTTTGTTTACTACAAAAGCACGCCACTAAAAAGGCGTTATGTAACTCAAGGTCACTGCGCTGGCTAAAACAGGGAACGTTTTAGCTAAAACGGTTCATATATCGTACTAGGAGATAAACTCGTTCTGGTTTAGAGCTAAACCCTCCCTCCAGATAAATAGCCAGATTTTATAAATTTTTGGAAGAATCACTTTCCCCTTACACGTACTTACCGACGTCAAGTCAAACAATGGATACATACCATAGTTTCAGCACATCTCTTAAATTCACAATGCTTTGCATCTTCTTAAAAAACATTCAAGTATTACTCACCAAAAGTGAATGCACAAATTCTGGTCCACCAACCAATGCCGTAAAATTCCCAAGCTGCTCCGCCAATGCCAGCAATACTTCATCCTCATCATAAATAGTATCTTATTCAAAGAACACAAAATGTAACCAACAATAAGATGGTAATACATACAAATCTTTATTACATTTTTTGGGGAGGGGGGTGTTTGCATTTTGTCTGATTTATTGTTAAAGCCGTTTTGTGTACAGACTCTGTGCATGAACTGAATGGGGCTGTGTGGACTATAACATACATGATTGCCTGGATGGACATGTTGGTTATGCGGTTAGTTGTGAAGATGCTCCCACTCAAAATTACATTGAAATTTAAGCCTCGCGGTGTTTTGATCTTAATCCGAAACACAATTTATGTCTCCAGGGATGAGATTGGTCTATGACAAAAAAACCTGAAAATTTTATGCATGAAGTGCAAACTCCGGTGAGCGCGAAGCCATTACGGCGTGAGGTCCGGGGCCCGGTTAAGGGCCCCAAAAATGTTTTGATTTAAGATGCTCTGTTGTGCAATCTGAGGCGATTACTCGGCACTTTCCTCTGAAATTTCGAAGCAGAATTTGTTTTAATTTTAAGAAGAATTTTCCTCAATGTACTCTTGTTCTAATAAAGTTTCTTCTGTACTCAAAGTTGAGAACCATGCTGTTCTCCCCAGGACTTTTTCAGACCTGTGGGGGAATTTTTGTTGTGATTACAACAACCTGCGAAGCCACGGCCTGGGTTCGGGGCCTCTTAAGGGCCCCGAAAAATTTTGAACTTTAGAAGCTTTCTGGTGCATTTTAGAGCATTTCAGAGGAGATCTTGTAATATTTTTGTAAAAAGAATCAAAATTGTAAACTTAAATCACTTCAGCTTCCCACAACAAGACTTTCAAAATAGCGCCGGTGGTATTGTTGGAAACATTATTTCACCATTTCTATATTTGTAGTAAAGCAAGGAATCGTTTATATTTTGTGCCTGGTATTATTCTCATTTGCGCCACAAAAATTATCAAGACTGGCCATCAAAAGCGATTAAAACTTGCCTCACCTAATTAAAAATATATTTGAGGTGGGTCATTCCACTATTATGCTTAACGTACATCACGGCCGCTAGTGCCGCAAACATTCAGTCTGGCCGGCCGTACATCGTGCCGTATACACGGCGCAGTATCAGTGTGCATTGCTGCACTGTGAACGGCCCATCCCACGTGGCCGAAAATTCTGCATTACTGCAGAAACACGCTACGATGTTTCTCCACAGGTTCGAGTTTTGCAATCTCGTCATTTCAATGGAAAAAACATACACAGAAAACGAAGATCACATTCTGTGCATTAATTTGCAGAAATTCTCTTTTTCCATCGATGTTTGTTTGGTATTTTTAGTTTTACTATTTCTATGATCCAACTTCGGCCGATTATGCACGGAAAACGATGTCAGTACGGGCAGTAGTCACTGGTTCTGGTCCTTCATCATAGCATTGATTCTGTTAGCACGCGAAGGGTACCAGTGTACCATGCTGTACTTAGTTAGTCTGTACACCTAACCAGCGCAACACGTGCATCTCAAGTACCGACACAGGAACTTGACCTAAATAATCACAACCTCGGCCCCGAGCGAAAAATCATATCGCACTTATGGCAACGCATGGTCTTCAACTTCGTTCTCACATTGGGTATTCAATATGTGCGTGTGTTATAAAAGATACATGTATATACGATCAACGAAGTTTATGTCCGTAAGTAAACTTCGGATATTTTGGCAAGCAAAACTCATTATGAATAATTAATTAGCACATTCTACCCCCCTATTTTCTCAACGGATTCACATGATTCACGTTGGTGGACTATTGAGGCCCCAAAAAACGGATTTCCGAGAAAACAAAACGGAGAAATCACATCCCTGTGTCTATAAATTGGAATGTATTTAATTTATTTGACAGATTTTCTTTTGACGAACCTCAATTGAATTGAAAATATCCTGGAGCATTGCTCACGTGTGCCAACCCCGAAAGAGGGCCCACTACCTTGGCTGATGTTAATATCAAACAGAGCATGAAGCAGCTGAAAACGTTTGTGGAACGTCATTGCCGAGGTTTACAGAAATATGTTTGAAACAAATTCGATGTATAGTTAAGATCGTTGAAGGATAATGATTTTGGGTCCTTTCTTGCACATGATTTTTAATCACGTGAATTTACATCTGTCTTGGTTACTCGCTGGTTATTTGAAATGTACAAACAGTAAGCACATGTCCTGCTTGAAGGTACAGCCCTCGCTTGAAAATGATGTTCCAAAGCAACAGACTGAGTGGAAAATGTTCCCAGGTAGCTCATGAAGACTGGTACAACATGTGTACATATTGTGCTGGTACAGTTTATCTCCAGATTTTTGATTTAAAGTTAAACAAAAAAACTTGTGTTATACAAACACAAATGCCCCTGCAACCGTGACTGTTCCCATGACATGATACCACCCTTTTAATATCAGATTTCTTTGGAGCTATCTGGGCCAAATGGAACACTCATTTATATCACCATCGTATTGTTGAAGACAACATTTACTTTTTGTTGTAATTTTCAGAACTGGATGGATTTAAGGGTTAGTATTATATAGCAAATATTGTTACACCGACCTGTTTAAAGTTTTGTGTTCATACATGAAGATGCTTACCTGTTAAAAAAGGAATGAGTTCACTGCGAGTCCTCTCCACTCCAAGAGCCAAAGCTATGGTTGACAGCTTCTTGATGCTATTAAGTCGAAGCTACAAAGCCCCCACCCCCCGAAAAAATTGTTTTAATTAAAAAAAAATAATAAAAACAATAAATACATAAATAAATGGTCAATTTTTTATAAAAGGTCTGAATGCGTGCGCAAGCACAAAATACAACAGTTATTGTAAACAGGTCCTTTAGTGAAACCGGTATATATGCCCCAATGTCACTGTCCTCTGAAGTTACGGTTTTATTTGTTTTCTTTTGCTTTTTTGGCAAATTTGTTTCTTTCAGACTTTCAATAGTTAAATATTACAAAATTATATCACTGAAAACATTCCAAACACTCCGAAACGTATCGTTATAACGCAAAATATAACATTGATGATGAAAAATGTGGCAAAATTGCTTCACCAAGGTTTACCATGCCCACTGGGGTCAACATGCAAATTGAGGTCAACCAGCTAGCGGGATGCAGCGCAAAGCGTGGCATTCCTCTGGTATATGTGACCCGCTCTGCAAAAATGAGTCTGATGTCGCATAATTTGAATTCAAGCTTTTGCCATTTTGAAATGGAAACAGTAAAAATTTGCTCAAAATTTGGATTTTTTGTTTTTGTTTTATTTTGGTTGTTTGATAGTTTTAGTTCAAATATCTTACACAAAAATGTAAATATTGTAAGAAAAAGGAAAAAATTATGAATCGGTGGTGCTTTTCTTGGTTAGTTACAGTGTATTCGTCATTTTTCAAAGCCCTTTTTCTCCATTGAGACACTTCTAGCTTTGCAAAAACTTTACAGAATGAAACAAGCACAACAATGCAACCAAATGTCCTAGAGAGGTCCATGATATACCAAATGAAAGCTTATTTCATTCCCATTTTATTAATGTAGTTAACTCAAAATGTCAGTTTTGCCACAACAGACTCATTTTTGCGGAGCGGGTCACATATAATAGCCTTAAATCTTATAGCTCAGTGGATTTGTCAGAATACTACTGAATTGTGTACTTTTTTCTTAAAAGCACCCAATTTTGTACAGAGTACATGTACCGGTACTTTAACCCTAACTCCTTAGGCATTTTTGCTAGGACGCAACCTCAATCCTGCAAAATCTCTAACTGCCTCCATGTAAAAATTACAAACAGCCTCAATCCCGAAAAATCCTCCTAAAATCCTCCAACTATCACTGTCAATATGTTGAGGCAGAGCCACTGACATCCTGGAGCAGCGCGAAGGATTTCAAGTACTATCTACATCGTAGGCCTAAATTTATAAACAACACAAGGTCTGGCCGTAGACCTTGAAACAGTACATCCTCCAAAAGCAGCCGCACATTTTTGCCATCCTCAATCCTGCAAAATCCTCCATTTTGCAAAGAGGAAGGTTAGGGTTACATTATAAATCTTTATATTTTAATACACTTAATTTTTCAAATTAGGTTTTGCCCTTCACCGACGTATAAACACTGTATACTCAGTGTGTTACCTCCCCAGTGAAAGTTGGAAAAAATCACTCAGGTGGGACTCGAACCCACGACCTCCTGCTTTCTAGGGCAGATGTCTTACACTCGACCATCGAGCTAATGGATCGGTTGGCTGGTTCAAATCTTATGTACTTTATAGCAGCGGGTTCCGTATTAACTATTTATAAGATGGAATTTTTGCGTCGGGGTGATGTAAATCAAATTAGATTTTGCCCTTCACCGACGTATAGACAATGTATACTCAGTATGTTACCTCCCGAGTAAAAGTTAGCTTGGTGGTTGAGTAGACCCTGGTTAATAAAAAATACTGCAACTTAAATTTGCGTGGTCCCCCTGGGATGCTGACAGCATTTAACAGTCAGTTACATGTAGTAAGCACACTTTTCAAATCCTAAGCAAAATCAACAATGACATCATTTGACCCCTAGATGACCTTTGACCTCAATTGTGTCAATTAACCTGAAGTTCCCCTACCCAAAGATTATTGTCACCAAGTTTGGTTGAGAGTGAAGTCTGACTTTTCAGATGAGAGCACTAAACAGTTAACCTAACCGAAATAGAACACAGGAACACACGAACATACAGACACACAGAAGGAATACACTATCGCAAGATCCCCCTTTCTTAAAAGCCAGGGGGATAAATGTGGCTATCCTCACGGCAGCCGTAAAGCACTTCTCATCTGCTATTGTTACGACATTGCAAAAAAATACCATCGCAAATCTATATAATATTTATAACTGCCCTACCAGAGTGCTTTGCCTTTGGTAGCTTGATTGGTTAAATGCTTGACTACCATGCCAAAGGTCCTGGGATCAAACCGTGCTATGCCAAACCTTTTCTTTTGGGTCATTCCATATCAAATCACCCCCCAAAATTGCAAATTTTCACCCCTGACACAACCCCCTTTAAATTGGTTCCTATTGATTGTATTGGGGGCAATTCCACGGTAACGGAAGGACGTTTTCACTCATTAAACAAAATTTCAAATGTGTGTATCACAGACACTGTTCATAGTTACAGCAAACAAATGTCACAATTGTATTGCTATAATGCTACTGTCATTTTCCACACTTTTGGGGGGCATGAATGCCTCCCGTTTTTGAATTATGAATATTAATGAGGTCGGTAACGGAAGGACGGTAAAACGGACAAGGGTTTTCCAACTTACTCGCGTTTTGCGTAAACTCTGTGAATTTTATGGGGCAATTATATTTTAAAGGTAAGAAATGGAATCCCTGAAGCTTTATCTATACTATACCGCCTTTCATTTGACTTTAAGTGTTTCGGTAATATAATTACAACGTTTTAAGCAGATTATGATTTGGTAACGGAAGGACGGTAACGGAAGGACAAAAGGTTTACTCAATTACAGCACGAACAAAATGTGAATTTACACTAATTTTACAAGTGAAACAAATTGCTGAAATGTGTAACTGAATTTGAAATCAACAATATGCAGACCTGGCATAAATAATTATACCCAAGAAACTATTGAGATAAAGATAGAAGCCTGCTAATTAATGATAACAAAAGAAAAACGAAAACAACCCAAAACACATAATTCACGAACACATGACAACTACAGAAATGGACTTCAAACCCATCACCTCAATCCTTAAAAGTCTAAATACACAGTTTTTGAGCACTTGAGTATATTGGTTACATGTTCACCAACAACTTTTAATAATAAGACCGGTAGGTTCAGTGGTTTACCTAAAGGGTGGGGGGGGGGGGGCAACCAGCCTACATGTACATTTAAGGTAAAAACATCTACCGGTAGAACTGATGGCTTCAGTTAGGTGTTGCTTTTAATTGAACTCTAAAATCAATGTTTGAAATCAAAATACAATGATTTAGAGTAGTAACAATTAATTTATAAACATCCAAACTGAAATTGTTAACTTGGGCATAATTTGTCAAAGATTGCACCTCACATGTCCTACACATGTAAATTGAATGAAAGTGCCCCAAAGTACCGGTACTTTCTGCCATCTCATTTTTGACTTAATTTGCTTCTGGAATGGCTTCACAGAATTCGTATCTTTCTCTATTGTCCATGAATGCTGATGGCAGCAACTTTATGATTTGATTTTCTGCAACAACTCCATACATGTACAAGTACTGGTACATCAGCATATATGTACATGTACATTGTACATGTTGTACATGCCTGTGCCTTCCTTTGTAATAAACACCTTGCCCTGCTTATCCTGCTTTTGTGAAGGTGGGTCACATGAATGTCCTTTCAATGCTCATTATACATGCATGTATTTGCAGTGATTTTCATTTTTCAAACATGAGCGCAAATGTCGTAACATTTGATAAAAATACGATTTGTCCTTCCGTTACCGTCCTTCCGTTACCAATTTGGTAACGGAAGGACGTGATTTAATTAATTGTAATTAAAAACCGAGAAGTACAGCAGTGTCAGTTATAATGTCATATTGAAGGCCTACCTAAACCTGCTTTGCACAATAACTTTCAATGCATTCATACGTATATTTTCGGTAACGGAAGGACATTTTCGAAGGCTGAAATATTAGAAGTCACTGAAGCGAAGCAAATTACGCAAAATGTTAAAAACAAGTTTTAGTCGGTTTTTCAAGACCAATACTTTCTCATGACAGAAACTGATGGCATTAGTACATATTTTTGTGTGTGTTTTGGTAGAATACTTTCATATCACTATTAATCACATTTTTAGGATTAAAACAAGATTATTACATAATCCTATTTTTTGGTACTGAAATGTATAAAAAATAAAATTCCGACTTCAAATCTTGAAAATATAGACTTTTAGCTTTCATTTGATGCCAAATTTGTTTAAGTCACATGTATTTGAATTTTTTGGTGTCATGTCCACTTTGGTGTGGAATTGCCCTTGGGTAATTTAAAATGATAAGTGGTTTGATAGATACCGGTTCCAAAAATAGGCCTCAATTGCCTACACTGTACTGCTCATGTATTGAGTGCTGTGTATAGAGGGTATGCACGGCCGTTTTCCCACAGTAAACTTATATTAGGGCTCACGCACTCGCTGTTTGCTGCCGGTGATCATTTTGTGTACAAAACGAATACGCGCAACATACACATCAAAAAGTCGGATGTTTTCATTCCCCATTTATAAGTTAAAATTTTGAAATATTCCTCGTAATTTATAAAGATAGTTCAATGATGTAATAAACTTACATATTTTCCCATTGTGATTGTGATTTGAGTCGAAATTACACTTGTTTTTGCTGTTTGAAAAGTCTCATTTTAACTCCGAGTACGAAAAATGCTGCGCACATGACATGTTACGTTCACGGGCCATGCGGCACGCACAGACCGGTCCATGCGTTCAAGATCCACGGCAAGAATTGTCTGCCCTGGTGACTGTGTTTAACTCGGTCTCGACGGTAGTGTAGCATAGCAGACGTCAAGAAACCATACGTCAGTCGAAAGCTTATTGAAAATGTCATTCAACCATCCACGTTCCATGATAATCGGCCTACGCGTTGCAAAGTTACGATTCTTTTTGTTTTTCCCAAAACTTTTTCATCACGAAATACATTGAAAATAATAATGGAACCTTGAAAATTGTAATTAGTGATATCGAAGCTTGAATTGCTTTTTTAAAAACCTTCAAAATATGATTGTATTATGATCGGCAAACACATTGAGCTGTAAGTTTTCAGACTATTTTGCTGTTTTTTTTTCAAAATTTTCGCTGTTTGGGAACAATATAAGGGGTCGGAAAAAATTCCGTACTCGGACGTCACTTTTTTCAATTAATTTTCTAGCGCCAAAAGTTACATCTTTTATGGTTATTCCTCCACTTTCCCTCCTCTACTCTCACCCTCTCCTTTCCTTAATTTCTATTTATTAATCAGTCAGTTACTTCATCGGGATTCGAACCTCTGACGCTTGCTCGATACACGAGACTCTTAACCGCTAGGCCGCGCACGATCGCTGTTGCAATAATCAATCTTTGGACGTATTTGAAGTATCCATTGAAATAAACTAAATATTCATGAGAAAATAAATATTCATAATGACGTATTGCACTATCATTGGCAGGCTCATGCGACGTCATGGTTGTTGATGTCACGTGTATAACATACCGCTGTCTTTCAGCCACTACAATCAGTTTTGACCGGCTGCTTGCTTCAAGTTAGTTCTGCACGACGTATGCATCCAAAATGTGCTCTAAAAACACATTTTGAGTAAATTTTTTTCACCTTTACACAGCTTCCTGGATTTCTCTTGGTTGAAATGACAAGGTGAGGTGACAATTAATATGTTTGGCAGCAGATAAATTGATGTCCGAGTATGGAACTTTTTCCGGCAAATCGGTGGAGCGTTTGTATGGAGGGTAGCCCCATAAATGTGGCCTATTTACTGGACTGCCTCCGTAAACATAAGCCACACGTCCACATGTACAAAAATCGTGTCGACTTTGCCAAATTTGATTTTCACATTTAGGCTTAGTTTGTAGGATTTTTTTGCTTTAGAAGCATACTCACCCACTTTATAGGCTAGTCAGAAAGTGCTGCCTTTTTCAGATGTCTAATTTTTGTGAAATTTCATGTTGAAATTTTGATACGCAAACGTGTAAAAATGAATCTGGAAATTTCACAAAAAATATACATCTGAAAAAGGCAGCACTTTCTGATTAGCCTATAAAGAGGGTGAGTATGCTTCTAAAGCAAAAAAATCCTACAAACTAAGCCTAAATGTGAAAATCAAAATTTGGCAAAGTCGACACGATTTTTGTACATGTGGACGTGTGGCCTATGTTTACGGAGGCAGTCCAGTAAATAGGCCACATTTATGGGGCTATATGGAGGGGTACCCGTAATTCAACGCTCCACTCAGTAGAGCTAGTTTTTATAGGTGATTTTTGAGAAATAAAAAAACAATTTTTACTCTAATTTGCTCAAAACAAAACAGGGGCCCTACACTACACGATCGCCGTACATGTAGTTAGCCTAGGCACCAGTGACCATGGCCACAGTCACATGATTCATGTACTAGGTATAATGTAGGCCTAGGCCTACGTAAAATAAAAAAAATTAGGCTGAGTGATGGAACAACAATTCTAATCCACACTTTAAAGGTCATGCTTTTCTTTACCTGAACATCCTCATTCCTCAGTTCGTCAATTAAAACTGCGATTGGATACAGAGAGTCGTCTCCAGATTCGCTGGAAGCCATTTCGCGCTATGTTGAGCACACTGTTGATGGTCGACTCGAGTATATTCGTCTAATCTCTGGATGGATTGCGATATGCCGTGGCACAGCGCTGGCGCAGCATGCGCATGGATATCGGATATGGATCGGACGGAACTTCATACACACGTACGTGCGTACGTCGTACGTACGTACAAGTGCGCAAGACTAGTTCCCGCCCCGATATATCAACATTTAAAAATGAAGAGGTTGGAAACCAGTCTACGCGGCAACTAAAACGACGGGAAAATGTCCCCTATTCGGGGTATTATAATTAGTCATGTACCCATGAACGAGGAATAGTAGAGACAGTTCCGCCGTTACTGTATAATTTAAAGGAATGTACAACTATGGAGTTATAATTGCTTTTGCAGCAATTTTCAGAAAATAAATGGATTTGGAGGATTAGTATGATATATAACAAATATTGTTAAATTGACTTTCTTCACGTTTCGGTTCGGAGATGCCGGAAAAACCAAGAAAACTGACATATTCTTGTAGTCTGGTTCCCCGACCCCACTTAATTTTAAGATGATGACACCATGGAGCTGTGTTTATAGCTCCATGATGACACTGACAGAGTAATTTATAGACTTTAGGGAATTGTAAGGTCAGAGGATCAGTCCAGCCGGCTTGTACCCCTTCATAGGTGTGTACATGTATTGCAAAGAAAATGCGAAAAAAATAAATATCAACAATAAGAAGAAGTTTTTGAAAAAAAGTTTTCTCCAATGGCGGTTCTCTACAGGGGGGGGGGGGGGGGGCGGGGCCTAGGGGGCTTTAGTGCCACCCCCCCCCAAAAAAATTAGTCTAGCCCCCCCCCCCAAAAAAATGCACTAGCAAAATGTATGAATGTGACGTACATGCGAACGGTCTCCCCCTAAAATAAATTGTGGTGAGAGAAGGGTGCATTTGTACACTTTCAGTTAATATAGTGTGCCTGATGATTTTACTATTTGCTCGTACCCCCCCCCCCCCCCCGCCCCCCCGCCCTGCAAACAGCAGGGCGGGGGGTACGAGCGAAGATTGTACCATAGAATTTATCAGCGCCTCCCACCGGGCACGAGCCCGGCCCCCAAGTCCGACAAAATCTCATCCCCCAACCAAATAAAGGCCAAAGTAAATAAGTACAATGTAAGTACGCATAGGTCCGACGCCCTATAGTAAGTCCGGAAATATCGTTTGTCCGTTGTCGGAAATATGAGGCCAAATCCCTAAATACAATGCCTCATAAATCCGACGCATCATGAGTTCCGAAATTTCGGACTTCTGAGGCGTCGGACTTACGATATACGGCCCCACTCAAACCATTTTGGAGTCGGCGGGATCCCATCAAAATAATTTAATAAAATTGAAATAAATGGGCGCGTTGCCGGATATATTCATCATGACAGGTGTGCAGGAAATGAACACACGGTTGTACTGTCTGAAGGGGCATTTAATCATGGGTTTGTGTTCCTCAAGTTGCGCCATGATCACGTCACACTGTCTTGACTGTAACTAATCGAGGTATGACGCGCCCCGAGTTGATTCGCATGCATCACATGTTGTACATATCCGTACAGAACACGTACGTACGGACAAGTGCGCAGGCCGCCAGGAGAATTATACTCCCCAAAAAGGGTATACAATAATGGCGAGATAATGATAGTGCCGGGTTTCCACAAGGTATATCAGGGTTATCTGCTAGTGGCATGGCGACTATGCATGCCCGCAGAGCATTGCAATGGACCATGAATTAACTTGACAGGAACTTTTTTAGGGGAATAAATGTGTGCTCCGGAGGTTTTTATCACTCTGTTTAATACCGCTTAGAGTCTGGGTGCTGATAATTACCTCCGGCGAGGGTAATTATCAGCACCCAGACTCTAAGCGGTATTAAACAGAGTGATAAATACCGACCGAGCATATATTTATTCCCATTCATAAATACCTTATCCTTAAAAAAAATATCAAATAATTCGTTCAAAAAATCCCGATTTTGTTCAACAAGTTCACTTCATGCTTTTTGAAACATCCCTCTAGCAAAATAATAATAGTGTTCAGCTGGCGAGCAAGATGTAAACAACCCTTTTATGGAGATTGACGCGCGCGTAGCAGTGTTCTGCGCGATGTCACGCAGAACGCACCTGGGGCGTTGCGTTTTGAATTTAGAACTATAAAATTCTGACTCGCTTGTAGTGTTGTGCATGCCTACGCGAGGATTGTGAACGTTCAACCAATGAAACGGTAAGAGGCACTGGATTTTTAGGAGTCCACATTTTATTGTGACACTGGAAAAGTGTTTAGGACCAGCTAGCCACGTCTTTATCATCCGTTTAAGACCGGCCACGTGACGGGCTCTCGACCAATAGGAAAAGCTAAACTGTCTGAGGTATTTATGAATGAATGTCAGATCAGAGGTGGCAGCAAGTCATTTTTTGCAAGTCCAAGTCACGTCACAAGTCATTATTTGCAAGTCCAAGTCAAGTCACAAGTCATTAGGTCCAGTCACAAGTCAAGTCACAAGTCATTAGGTCCAGTCACAAGTCAAGTCACAAGTCATTTGGTCTAAAAACAAGTCAAGTCACAAGTATCTTTGTCCAAGAACACGTCAAGTTGCACATTATTTTGTCCAGCTGTGATAACCTGGCGTGAACTTACGAGTTATTTTGAACATGCCTCCTTAATTCCCCTTTTTCAATGTACGTGTTGCAATTACTATTCTTGTAGTTTATCACATATCTGTCGGATATTAGCCCTTTGTATACTTTAATAAATTTATTTTACATTGTAGAAATAAATGTTGAGATGACCGTGAAAAAAAGAGACTTCCTCACTCGATTACATGTAGTATACTAACACTTTATTGTTCAATTTTCATGTATACTAAACGCCTACCAATGGGTTAGGCTATCCGGTATTTTACATGCAATTGACAAAGGCCTGCTTTCTTTTCATGAAAGGTTCCTTTCAAAGTTTGTTCAACCAATACATTAAGCAAGAGACAATTGGTCATTGAAAACTGTAGTTTGTTGTGACAGTCTTATTGAACACTTTTTAAACTAGTGGGAACTATTCATTTTACTGGATTCAGTCACTGAGGTCTATTTTCTGGAATGAAAAAGCTAATTAAAAGTTAATTAAAGTGTATTGGGTCGCTCGAGTAGCGTCTGACTTGAGTTGGTAACAAGTCATTTTTTGCAATCCCAAGTCAAGTCACAAGTCATTGTTTGCAAGTCCAAGTCAAGTCACAAGTCAAAGCTGGTATTTACAAGTCAAGTCACAAGTCACAAAAATAGCGACTCGAGTCCGACTCGAGTCCAAGTCACATGACTCGAGTCAGCAACTCTGATGAATGTGTATTAGAATACACGTAAGGGAACCTCAAATTGAAACTTTTTCAAAACTAATTAGCTATATTGTTCAAATCTGCCATATTTTTCTGGCAATTTACCAATTTTACAGCATTCTGCTAGAAAAACTGCTAAATGACACCGGCACTCGGATGCTCGATAATAGTGCTCGCCATAAGGCGATTCTGTTTGTGCCCCCAAATAAAAACCTAAGTTTTGGGAGGTTTGCAGACGCCCCTAGTCTTTGTAATATACCATGGTGATTCAAGAGACTTGGCTCCATGGATACCCCCCCCCCAATAAAAAGGGGGTGGGGCCAGGGGACTTCCAAAAAGGTTTTGTTGTTCATGTGGAATAAGTCATATCGGCCAGCCAGTTGAAAATTCATTGAGAAAACAATCGAATTTGTTGATGAGCACGGGGAACGCCACTTTATACTAAAAAATATATTTTATTGACCATTCATAAATACCTCAGACAGTTTAGCCATTCCTATTGGTCGAGAGCCCGTCACGTGGCCGGTCTTAAACGGATGATAAAGACATGGCTAGGGGTGCGTTTTGGCGGTCATAACCAAGAATTGGTTCGGTGGTTTCTTGTCAGTGAATTTCTTCGGCAATTTTAATTGGGTTAGAATTACGCGTGGTCATGTAGTACTCAAATTCCCAAAACAATTAAAGGTAGAGTCCATCATTTGCAGCCATCCGAAAAGTAACTGGCGTAATTATTGTTGAAAAACTAACTTGGTTGAAAGATAGTAAGGAGACTAAACTCCCTGTGAAATTATTCTTTCTGGGAAGCTGTCATTTTGAAGTTATCAACGAAAGAAGGCATTTCCGACGGTGATTTTTAAGAAGCACCGTAGGAAAATTTAAATTAGTAGTTCGTTTTGTTATTCAGCGCAGCGCGCACAAGTATTCGAACGACGAGCGCGGTTGTTATAATTCGTCGGATCAGTGCGCGACGTCGCGCGTATAGTTGCAATTCAAAACAATTCAAAACATGATTCAGCAACTTTTGATTTGAAATTGAGATCTTAGAATGCTGTTTTTCTCGGAATGTACAGATGAAGCTTAGCTGAAACTTCATCAGGTTAGTTGCTCAGTATCCTTCATTAGATTTTGAACTCTTTTGTTGCTTCAAACGAACAAAATGCACAAATTACAAATGATGGACTCTACCTTTAACCAAAGAGAAACCACCGAACCAATTCTTGGTTATGACCGCCAAAACGCCTTAAACACTTTTCCAGTGTCACATAGAATGTGGACTCCTAAAAATCCTGTGCCTCTTACCGTTTCATTGGTTGAACGTTCACAATCCTCACGTAAGCATGCGCAACACTACCAGTGAGTCAGAATTTTATAGTTCTAAATTCAAAACGCAACGCCCCAGGTGCGTTCTGCGCGACATCGCGCAGAACGTGCTACGCGCGCGTCAATCTCCATAAAAGGGTTGTTTACATCTTACTGCCAGCTGAACACTCCATTATTTTGCTAGAGGGATGTTTCGAAAAGCTGGAGTGAACTTGTTGATCAAAATTGTTTTTTTTTTGAACGAATTCCTTGATTTTTTTTTTACCGAAAAGGTATTTATGAATGGGAATAAATATGTGCTCGGTCGGTAATAATCAATCTGTTTAAGACTGCTTAGAGTCTGGGTGCTGATAATTACCCGAGCCGGAGGCTGAGGTTCGGGTAATTATCAGCACCCAGACTCTAAGCAGTCTTAAACAGAGTGATTAAAACCTCTCGAGCACACATTTATTCCCTTTGTAAAGTACTTTAGACCTTGCAATTGCAA